GTAGATTGCCCAATCTTCCTTCTGAGGAGTGGCTGGGGGGTTTGAACGGCCAGCCTTCTGGTTAGCAGTCAAATACCTTAGGCACTATACCACCAGAGCTCCCAAAGGACAGTGTAATTTCCAGACAACATACTAGGTCCATGAAAACAATGCAGGTCCAGGACAGAACATTCACTTACATTCTGAAAGGTCACGAGGTTTTAGGTGTACCTCTTCCAGATAACCTAATTTAATAAAATCTAAATGTACAGACTAGGTATACTGGAGGAACAGAGGTGACCAGGTTCATTACAAAGGATCCTGACTTTAAAAAGGAGTTTACTGGAGGGCTCCTTCCAAAAGAAGCCAAAACTTGTGTATGTACAAGTGATTTAATAGTGGTTCTATAGAGGGGGGAGTGGGCAATTCCAGTGATGTTTCATTATACTTTATACATTCCTATTTGGCTAACTTTTTTACAGTATAACTACATATTTTTTGTAATCAGAAAGAAATTATATACATTTCCACTTTGATAAAAAGTATTCCTAATTGCTTAAAACTAAATTGCTGTGACTCTGCAGGATCACATAAATTCTAAGAGGTGGGCTAAATGATTTGATGTTTACAATGCTTCTGTCGTCTCACCACCTAGCTATGCCCCTCTCAAATATCTTGTTTCTCCACACTAAGTTCAAACACTCTTAAATTTCAGACTAGTCACTTAGCCACACCAAGGCCACAATACTTTTGGCTCCTCTTATTTCCTTCACTTTATACAGCTAGATGTGCAATGCTCCTCTCACTATCTGGGAGTCCCCTTAAGCTTCTCTTAGTCCTCCTCTTCCTTGCAAACTCTTCCTTGACTTACACCCAGTCTTTTGAGATAAGCATGCTCAAATAGCTTGGGTACCATGGAGTACTTTGCAAACATAGCAGGTAAATTCACTAATGATTCATTGAGTAGCAGGGACTTTCATGGACACTAAAACTATTCTTGCTAACTCCAACCTTTAATCTCCCACAGCAAGAGACTCAAGTGGAACAAAATATTAATAGAAAAAAATTAAAAATTAAAAAAGAATTAATGCAGCACCACTGATTCTAGCTTAGCCAAGCAATTCCATCTCAGCATCCATTGTGAATTTTGGTTTTTGCTTTGAAGTGACCTTCAAAGTCTACAACAGGCACAAGACTGAAGCATACTTTATTTACTTTTTGGTCCTAACAGCTTCTCAAAAGATGGGGCCAAGTAAATCCACACAAAAGGCAAGGCTTCCAGAGACTGGGTTGTTTATTATCAGTAGGTGATGGTCCTAAACCACAGGAAGAATTTGGTTCCTTGACCATTTGACTCCAGTTCTCCAAAATGAAGTGGTAAGTAACCAAAGCCAATGACTCCTTGACATTCCAGTAAATTTCCTTACATTCTATAACTACAATGGCTGACTTTTACAGAAATAAAATATGGTGGAAAATGAGCTCCCCAGAAAGGCTTGAGGCTTCTGTTCTGCTCCCCATTTTGAACAGGATGAATCAAAGAAACAGTGGTGGGGTGTGTAACTCTAAAACTAAAACTCTGAAAGTGCCAAATTCATCCTCTCCACCCTTCATCCCCCACCATGCAGAGTAGTAGCCCTGATAAAACATCTATTGTACCAGGTACTATCATAAGCACTCTGAACTAGGTCCACTAATATTCCCATTTCACAGATGAAGAAGGGGGGCACAGAAGGTCAGTAGCTGGAAAGTGGTGGAATAGGGCAGTCTCGTCCTAGAGTCTGCTCTAAAATATTCTGCCACAAGAAGCCTTTTTTGTAAGTTTATTTGTGAGGCCCAAAACATCATCAGAATGTGGTATCACATCTGAAATTTCATAATGAAGACCAGAAATTCCTGTAGTAACAGAAATGCTGAACTAAAAGCACATGACCAAAAATGTCTCAGGGCCAGAAGCCTCATCATGATCAATTGTACGCCCAGGTATTGAAAACACTCCTCCCAGGAAAGATAGCAGGGAACTGTCATGTTGGCCTGGGGGTGGATGCTGTTTGCTCAATTTAGTCACTGGGCACCTAGAGTCTCATTTTCTCCTTGCACATCACTATTAGGAATAGCACAAATAGTATAGCCTCTGACATGTGTGAAGAGTTCAATGACACCTTTGTGATGAGATGCAAGCTCCTTTATGAAGCTTTTATTTTGCTTTTTGTTGCCTTTTGTAGTAAACACATTTTCTAGCATTAAAGGTAATTAGTGGATGTTGAAGGAAAGACACAGGTTTCCTCATGTCCTCAGACAACTGTCTCCTGGTCAGGCTATTGAACAGTATGCCTGCCTTGCTGATTCCCATTGGTGTGAATTAACTCCACCTTCCTCTCAGATTGAAGAGGAAAAACTCTAGCAAAGCACAGTGTGCTGACAAGGAAAACCAGCAAAGGACCACAGCCTGGGCTCCCTGCTGTACCACTAATAATAATAAGCTCTATAACTTTGGCCTGTCATTTCCCTTCCCTGGACTCAGTTTCCTCACCTGTGAAATGAGGCCCATTTCAGTCTGTGAATCTGTCTAATTTGTGGACTATGCAATATGATCTAGTATGTAATTATGGAGACAAGTGGAGCCAAGGTAGAGGAAATAAAAATGAGGAAATTAACTAACCAGGGTTTTTCCCACTTTCACTCCTTGACAAGAAATCACTGTTGATATGATTTAAAATCAAATGATTTTCCTGTCTTTAAGTGCCCTGAACTTGTAGTTATTCAGGACTAATAAAAAGAAATGCTCAGTTAACTTGGTTTTCTTCTTGTACAACACTTGTCTTGAAGGACAAGCAACACACCCACACCTGGTATGCATTCCTAAAAGCATTTTCCAAAGGTCATAGGTTAAAATGTCTACAAATTTATCCTGATTCTCACACCTTCCATAGTCACTGTTCTATAAAACAATAATTGTGTTAATGACTCAGATGCCCCTTCCCCAAAAAACAAAAGTCTGGAATACCTTAAATCATTTTTTTAAAAATGTGGTATGGGCAATATAATTTTAATGTTACAGTTTTAACTTCAGATTTTTATAAAACAGCCAACTCTGTTTTCAAACTTTCTGTTATCTTGTTCAATCTATCTGCAAAGGGGCTGCTTTTGGGAATACAATTAAATTACCAAGATGGCAGCAAATATTGGAAGTTGTTATATAAGTACATAGTCTTCTTCAGAAATTTGAACTTACTGTTAACACACAGATTACCTAGAGAATTCCACTCTTACATTTATTTACTTTAAAAAAATTGTACTCAAGTCGTTATTTCTACTAAACCATCAAACAACAGCCTTTTGTGAGGTGAGGATAGTCTACCTTGAGACCCTGGGTCAAAGTGATAAAATGTTGAGAAAACGTACCAATTGTGACTTTTGTGTCTCCTAACCTTCATACTACCTCTATTCAGACACCCACGTGAACCACGAGGGAAGGAGCTGAGGCTAGAGCAGGCAGTGGTGCCCACTTGGTTGAGGAAGGTCATCACCCAGCAGACTGGCACCATGCTTGGCTCTGCCTTCCCAGCCCGAGGCCTGTGACCCACAGAGCCCAGGACGCGGTGCGCACTGGTCCGCGGGGCCTGCCGCGCTCCGTTCCCACGTGGCCTCGCGGACGCACCAGGGAACCACTGCAGTGTGGTGCCGGCAGAACAGTTTTCCCAGCACTCATGGAGAAAATCTCCTCCAAGATAAAATCGATATGGTCCTGTGCACTCCGGTGTGTGTGACCGCACAGGCGTGGGGGTAGACGTCGTGAGGTCAGCAGGCGACCCAGAGACAGAGTGGGGAGCGAGAGACCTGTGGTTTCCCGGGACTGGTCCACTACCGCAGTCCCAAAGCTACCAAGCTCCAGACCCTTCCACGCCCGCAACCCCGAGGCGCCCCCGCCTGTGCGTAATCACGCGCTGTGTACACACAAACACACACACACAGCACACACTCCTTGAGTACACACATTCCCCCAGGATCTTCTCCTGA